GTTCTCGGCCCAGCCATTTTCAGCTACTTCATCAATGACTTTCCCTCCATTAAGAGGCCAGAAGCAGGGATGTTTGCCAATGATTGCACAATATTCAGCACTATTTGCAATTCCACAGACACTGAAGCTGTCTGTGTCCAAATGCAACAAGATCTGGACAATATCCAGGCTTGGGCTGACAAGTGGCAAGTAACATTTATGCTACACAAATGATAGGCTATGACCATCACCAACAAGAGACAAGCTAACTACTGACCCTTGACATTCAAACTTGCTGCGCTGTAAGTTTCCAACATCTATTAACTCAATTCCGGGGGTTTGTGATGGAATTCTTGCAGCAGTAATGCTGCTGGGTAAAACGGTTGGAAGGAAAATGGGATCCTCTAGATGTGTTGAAGTCCTTTCCCCAATTATGCCTGGTGGATTACAAGGAGCATTTGGACCTCTGGTCCTTCTGTCTTGTCTTTCAATTATGAGACCATTCCAACACCAATCAGCCACGGACTTACCTTTCTGCTGACAGCATTCTGTTGGTGCCAGCAGGCATCTTCCACATCACTGATCTTTTGCACTCCCAAAGCCCACTAGCCAGCTGCTGCTTTTCACTAAAACCAGTGAACATTTTACTGGTGGCATTCTGGCTCAGACCCTTAAATGGAATTGCTGTCTGTTCTTGCCAGCTTCCTGCCAGGAGTTAAAATAAGAAAATGTTAAGGGCATAATTGATTTTTCCACTGAGAAATAAATATTAGACTACTTATATTTTGGAACATTAACCAAAGCTATGACATGTGTAAACAGAAATGGCTATTTTGAAACAGTAATGTGTGTTTTTTTCTTTCTTTTACATATACAGTCAGCTCCTCTAGTTCAAAAAAAATAAACATTGCTCAAAGAAAACTTTTGCAATTTGTCCTCCAGATTTTCTTCAAATAAATTTTTAAAGCAACCAAATAAATATTGTTGAAGTTGAAGACAGACATTACATCAATAGAGATGGCTAAATGCTATTAGGAAATTGTGTTTGCCACACATGGTCAGATAGTAATATCTGTCTTCAGTTAACAGAGTCATAGCTCTGTGCAAAAATATCAAGCTCAAGGACAGGCATTTTAAAAACACAGCGTATACTTCAATGGATAAATTAAAAATCTTATTGTAAAAATATGTATTTTAAATTCTAATTTAAAGTATAAATTCCAATTGCAGTTTTTAAAAAAGGGCAGTATTTAAAATATTTTGTTATTTCACCATTTTCTAAATGCCAGTAAGTTTTCCAGTCCTTTAGGATTGGTTTCTTCCTTTATTCCTTGGTTGAGTTTCATCTGGAGATTTTTTGTTCTTTTACCATACTTTTAGATTGTGCATTTCTTACCTTTTTAGTCATAATTTGCTGCAGTTATACCATGAGTCAGACAATAAATATGATTTTCTATTATAATTGTTGACATTATTTCCATTATTGTCTGAATGTTTGTGTAAGGGTTTCTAACTGTCAATGTGATAATCTTTGCCTGAGGTTTGTGGAAGTAAGGGTAATGCATCCATGAATGTACACCACACTCACTTTTATAATTAATTTTGATCAACCTGGTCAGACATGTTATGACATGCATCCAGAGCAGATGAGACTTACAGCTTCTTGTCCAAATGTATGGATACTATTGCTGCACCAAAAGAGAACTATACTTTCAGCATATGATTAGTAGATCAGCAATGGCTTTATTGTTGTCCTTCTGATCATTTATATTATCACCTAGTGGTAGATTATTTTGTGCCACCTGAATAGTTTGAAAAGCAATTGGAAAAAAAAACTGTGTGTTTAAAAGCAGTGAGCTATGAAAGAAATTTTATTTATTATAGAGAGTTAATAGTTGATATTTGTGTGTAATTACATTAAGCACTTTTAATTTTTTGTTATCAGATTTTGATGCTGGTTTATCTAGCATTCAGACAAGAGTGCAGAAAAATGTTTGAATTTCTCAGTAAGATTGCAACAAATATGAAAGGGTGGCAGGTCAGGGGTTCCGAGGTAGAGGTGTGTAAAGCCTCAGACAGTAGACCTGAGGCCTAACAATTCCTGATAGGTATATGAAACAGGGGGTTAGCAAATCAGAAGAAGCCCTCACCAGTAGTCACCGGCTGGAAGTGGGACGTACAGGTAGGCTCAAGGGTTAGGTATAAAAGGCCTGTCAATTGAGATAAGGGAAGGAAATAAGGCTGGTGAAAAGTAAGTGAGCTTTGTCGAGAGGGCTAAATGAAATCATTCAGCCTGAAACAGTTATGCCACCTTGGGATCGGATATCAAATATCAGAATATGGAAGGCCTGAACTTACAATGTAAGAAGTGAATGGTAATATAGGTTTTCTGCTGTTTTCAAATCAGAATGTTCAGAATTATGGTAGAAGAAATCAGAATGAGGCTTATACAAATTTGCGAATCCATTTTGTTTTTAGAACTCAATGGTACAGAAAGGGACAATTAACTGATTGTGTCCATAATGGCGTAATAGAGCTGTCTGGCTGAGTATCATTTTCCAGCTCTTGCTCCATAACCCTGTAGGTCATGACCCTTTAAATGTATACAAGTAGTTATTAAATGTGATGAGAATCTGTAGCTCAATCAGCTAAAAATGCAGTAGCTCCAGACACCTCAGAGTGAAAAACAAAATTTTCAATTCCTTCTAACCCCTCTCCCAATCTCTTGAAATCAATGCACCGTGACCTTTTTGATAAAGGGCAATAGATCCTTCCAATCTACGTTATCTTGACCCCTCAATTTTAGACAATTTTTCTCCCAGCCTCCTGCCAGTATCAGCCTATCCATTTTTTCTTTATAGCTGAGTTTTCCAGTCCTTGGAAATCTGTGCAGCCTGTCTTACGCATCATATTCTTTCAGTAATGTACTGGAAATAATGATTTGTGGCAATACTGTTTCATTATTACTTGTGAGAAGTAAAACAATATTTTCTTTCCCAAAATAATTCATTGCGATACTGTAATACTGTGCTGTAAAATGCTTATGCAGTTACTCACTGTAATCATTTTGAATTTCATCATTCATTCTGCCTACTTCTTGTTCCCACTGCTACGTGGCTGTGATTAAAGTCGGTTTACTTATGTGGTGAAAATGTAAAACAGAATAGTTTAAATTTAAAGAAAACAAGTAAGTTGACAGTTGGAAAGTATATACAAAAGGCATGGGGAAATCAGTATTGCCTTCCAATTTTTTTGTTGTATTCAGTTTAAGATGCTCGTTTTCAAACACCATGGACTTGGAAGTGTTCCAACAGCTAGTCTACTGGGTATTCTTCATCTTCAGCCTCAGTACTGAGTTAAGGGTTTTTGATAAATATTCATACAAAATGCTATTCATTTAAAGTCATAGCTCTAGGGATTCAGGGCAAACCCTTGGAATGGATAAGAAACTAGCAGTAGGGTAGGAAATGATTACTTGTTGTGAGTTATGTCATTTGAGAGTGCGTAAACTACTAAGTTAGATGTCTCAGAGCTCAACATTGTGGCTGCTGTTGTTCTTAATTTACATAAATGACATGGATTACTTTATACCATGCAATGTGAACAAATTTGCAAACTAAGAAGTTACTACAATTGGATGTAGCAGCTCATATGTCTTGGAATGAATTGGACCAATAGGACAAAGTTTTGGATGCTGTCAAGGTTGGGAACAGTGGTGGCCAGGATCTGAAAATACAGGTGCTGACCCAGTGTAGTGGTTTCCTGATGATGCACACACCCAATTAGGCTTATTGAAATCTTTGTTAATGATTGTTAAAGGAAGCTGGCTGGAATATTCTACCCTCCTTCCTGTTTCTCAACATAGTGGGGCAGTTCAGCTGCCAGGTGTCAACCTGAACGTGCAGGCCCCCTCACCCTATCTAGACGTGCATGCTGGCTGCCATGTATAGGGATTCTCCTACTAATAGTGGTGGCCTGGCTGCTTTATCTATTCTTTTATTTAAAATCTGATCTGCCTTCCATGTTTAAGAACCCACCAACAGTCGTTATCAGTTGAGGAACCTTTCTTCATGCCAGTTAAGGGGGTACCCCAGTCAAGTAATCATAGATATGGCAAAAGCTCTAATTTGCTCATGCTTTATCATTGCTGAAATACAGAACAATTGTTTGAGATTAACTATAACAGATTCAAAGTGATTTAGAATAAAAAAACAAAATGTTCTGAAGCACATAGAGGTTGAGCACGTGGATTTGGTGTGGATGTGGATGAAATTGGGAAAATTATGAACCAGTTCCAATTATTGACTTCTAGGCTTTCTGGAGGTAGGACAAAGAACAAGTAGGTAACCAATTCCTGGGAGGAAGGTTAGCATTTTATATATGTTAATAGGTCTCACAGCCTCAAATTTAACCTGCTGTGCAGTTTAACCCTGGGTGACCAGGTTTCACAGGCCTCAGGAAACTTTACAGCTGAAGCAAGCAGAGGACAGCATCAGGAAGAAGGTGAGTGCCTTCACAGCTCTGCATGTGGGCCAGAAGGAACAGGAGCGCTCTCTCTCTGGCTCCCCCCAGCTCCACAAGTTCCTGCCTATCAGATACACCACCCATATACATGCCTCCAGGGCCAGGTGTTGGACATTGGAATGTGGTCATGTATGAGACTGTGTTCCTGTGGTCTTCCTTACATGAACTCTCCAGCTGACTGGAAGCCAAGCAAACTCACTTCCAGGCAGAAACCTGCCAGGGCCAGAGGACCCATGCTCTAAATTTAAACTCCACAGCATGCATGGTGACCTGAATGGCTGGCTTTCTTATCTGAAACCCTGTTTCTTAAACCCCACCCCCACCCTGTGCTGCACCAACTCCTATGTAAACTGAATTTGTTAGCGTCCACGTCAATGTTTCTTGGTTAGTAATCACTTGGTTAGTAACATCCGATTCTATCAGTTATTAAAACAATATAAAATATAACTTGTAACAGTATTTTTTCTTATAAATTTATAATGTTATATTCTAACTAGAACACTGTATTCAGAGGATGAGGAGGACACCCCCACTTGATGAACTTCAACCACCCCCCTATCAGGATGATAACGGATCACCACATCTCTCCTACACACCATCAGAACTGGATGACAAGTGTGAACTCTCTCATTCCAGTGCAGATTGCAACAGTCCACGTTGTTCATACAGTAAGTGCCCTAGCGAGGGAAGTGTAGGCCATGAGACAGAGAGCTACCATCACAAAGGATATGAGGAAGATGTTCCCAGCGACAGCACTGCCATCCTCAGTCCAGAGGTAATAGAAACGGAGGTATCCTCCTGATTTATTGAGTAATGTTTTGCATCAGGTATCCACCATAACTCTGGGAAATGCATTGATTTGCAAACAGATTTAAAGAGCTCGTACTTTTTTTTGCATGTGTTCATCCATCCTCAAAATTAAGCAGATTTTCAGATTTCATACCATCTGTAGTGTCTTTCTGTCCATTTCTTCATAAATTTAATCTCCTTGTGCATTTTCAATTTTTAAAGAGACAGACCTCGGCTAGCAACTGATACCCTTCACCTCCTGATTTAAATAAGTAAGCAAGAATTAGATAGAAATGTTCAAAATTATCTTTAGATTGAAAGAATGAACAAAGTTTTTTTTTAAAGTGCTTCTGCTCTGCCATTGTTGTTTACTGTAAATGCAACAGAAACACAGGACTGAATTTTACTGAGAATTGACTAAGTGTCAGTTCCATGGAAGGTCCCTCTCCATGAGCTCAAATGGGTTTTGTCTTGCTGTTCTCCACTGTCACCTCATTATTTATACACCACACTTCTATGATGCTGCCCTCAGTTGATTGTTAGCTCACCAGTGTTGGAAATATTTGCCACTGCCAAAACCTTCTGGGATTTGTGATGCCAGTGCCATATTTAAAGCCCAGATGTGCACAAGGTCAATTGCTGCCAAGCACCTAAAAGCACACTTCAGTGGAAATAGAAGGTCACATTTGTAAATCTATTGTCTAAATATATATCATGTGCTGCCCGATCAATTTCTATTGTAAGTGCAGCTACAAAAATGTAGCGTCAGAGGCTATCTCTTCTTAGCACCATACCTTGTCAAAACCCTATCTGAAGGACTATAATATCTAGCATAGCTTAACATCTTGCCATTGTTCAATGTGGGAGCATCACATGTGATAAAGCCTTCAAACCATTGTTAACATTAATTTTTATTAAATAACAGGATAAGAGAAGGGACAACAAAGCAAAAAAAAACTGCATCTATTACTGGGTATAAACAGGTGCTGCTTATCTTTCAAACAACAACAAATTTACAATCAGTAAATGATTCCAAATCAGATTGGAATGAGGTGTATTTTAAGTCCTGTCTGACTTGTTGTGTTGAAAGTACATATCTCTAACATGTTGTAGGTGATGTTCCTCCTTCTTAATGTCCTCCTCTTCCTCCTTGGAAGACTACTGTTGCTGTCCCAGCTTTTCAGCATCCATTACTTCTGTTTGCCTGCTCCAGCTGTGTAGAGCACAGTGTAGAAGGATTATGTGGCACACACTGTCTGGAATGTACTGCAAGCCTACCCCTCCACGTCAGACTCCAAACTGATCCATCATCACAACCTGATGTCCAAGAGAGTGGTGGTCCATTCCAAACACCATGGTGGAAGAGTGGGCAGTATTGGATCTACAGTCAGCCTCAGTTGGGGGTTGCATAACAGAGTCATCTGTCACAAGTTGCAGAAGATACTTTGGTGCCCCAGCAGCCATCCTTGTAAGATGTCTGACCTGTTTAAGTAAAGCAGGATCTTGAGAGTTATCAAGGATGTAGGTATCAAGGCAGTTTCCAGGGTAACCAGGCAGGCCTCTGAGATGTGGAGTTGATGATCAAAGATGACTTGTATACTTACCAAGTGGAACCATTTCCTATTGATGTGTCATGATGCGATGGCCTCGACGTGACCTATGTATCGTTTACATTGCCTGCTCTCGAGGAAAGCCTACTGCTCAGTCTGTAGCACTTACTTCATCACTGGAAATGAGGAGAGGCGGTGCGATCTTGCACAGTTACATTGGTAACAACTTTATATGTTTGTGGATTGAGTATTGAGAGACCTGCACAGATTCCCAATGGATCTTTAGCAGCAGCCAGTTGCATTAAGTAAAAAGGTGCAGCTGTCACCTGATGGCCATTGGGGTAGGATGGCCACCCACCCCTTCAGATCACATGTCCTACTCCAATAGATGACACAGTTCTGTGATGGCGTCCCAGCACTCTCTCATTCATTGGTGGTACTGTACCTTGCTCATCTGGAGGAAATACTGCACCACCTCCATGTTCTGAGGGAGCTTTGATCTGTAACGTTTTCATGTGCAGCCTATTCAATAGCTGGAGGTTGCTGCTGGTGCTGGGCTTGCTGAAGCATCTATTCCTTGTCTATTTCTCTGCGTCTGATAACACCTGCTGTGGCAATATCCATTGGTCATGGTTCCAGTGAACCTGTATGGGAAATATCAGGAACAAAACAGATTCTTAGTGATGTGAGTTTTTTGCATTCTCATCACACACAAATGAGTTTACCACTGTGCTTGGTACAGTGGGACTTTGAGGTCTATGACAGGGATGGCAACAGGATGTCTGTAAATGGATCTTTGATATAGGTTTTTATTCACTCATGGGATATGGGCCTCACTGGCTGGACAAGCATTTATTGCGTATCCCTACTTGCCCTTGAGAAGGCTCAAGATGCCTCTTGAACCATTTGGTATAGGTACACCCACAATGCCATTAGGGAGGAAGTTCCAAGATTTTGATCCAAAAGCACTGGAGGAATGGTGATATGTTTCCAAATCAGAATGGCGTGTGATTTGAAAGGAAGCTTGCAGGTGGCAGTGCTTTCTTGTTGCATTTAGGCATTTGGGCAACTCTGCTTCAGTATCTGTGGAGTCACAAATAGTGCTGAACATTTTGCAACAAACATCAGCATCAGCAAATAGGCCCACGTCTGACCTTATGACGGAGGTAATGTATGAAGCTGCTGGAGGCGGTTGAGCCAAGACACTACCCAGAAGAATAGGGTAGAGACATCCTGGATCTGAGATGACCTCAACGACAACAACCATCTTCCTTTGTACCAGGTATGAATCCAAACAGCAGAAATTTGTCCCCCAATTCCCATTGATTCCAGTTTTGCTAAAGCTCCATAATGTCATACTTGGTCAAATTTGGCCTTGATGTCAAGGAAAGTCACTGTCACCACACCTTTGGAATTCAGCTCATTTGTCCATGCTTAGACCAAGGCTATAATGAGGTCTGGAGCTGAGTGGCTCTGGAAATACCAAAATTGAGCATCAGTGAGCAAGTTACTGCGAAGCAAGTGCTGCTTGATAGCAGTGTAGATGACACCTTCCATCACTTTAGTCATGACCAAGAGTAGACTGATGGAACAGTAATTGGATGGATTAGATTTGTCCTACTTCTTGTGTTCAGGACATACCTAGGCAATTTTCCACATGATCAAGTCAATGCCGGGGGAAGCGATGGCCTAGTGGTATTATCTGGAGACATGAGTTCAAATCTCACCATGGCAGATCGTGAATTTGAATTTAATTTTTAAGAAATCTGAAATTAGGAGACTAATGATGACCATGAATCCATTGTTGATTGTTGGCAAAATCCATCTGGTTCACTAATGTCCTTTAGGTAGGGAAACTGCCATCCTTACCTGGCCTGGTCTGCATGTGACTCCAGGCCCACAACAATGTAATTGACTCTTAACTGCCCTCTTGGCAATTAAGGATGGGCAGTAAATGCTGGTTTAGCCAGTGACAACCCCATTTTGTGAATGAATTTTTTTTAAAAAATGCCGGTGTTGAAGCTGTAATGGAGCAGCTTGGCAAGGGTTGTCCCAAGTTCCAGAACACAAATCTTCAGTATATTGCTGGAATGTTGTCAGGGCCTGTAGCATTTTGCATTATCCAGTGCCTTCAGCCATTTCTTGATATCAAATGGAGTAAATCAAATTGGCTAAAGGCTAGCATCTACAATGTTAGGGACATTTGAAGGAGGCCCAAGAAGATCAAGCACTTGGCACTTCAGGATGAAGATTGTCACAAATGCTTCACTGTTGTGTTGGGCCTCCGTATTACTGAGGATGGGCATGTTTATGGAGTCTCCTCCTATAGTGAGTTTTGTTCAGTTTTCTATCACCATTCAAACCTAGATGTGGCAGGACTGCAGAGCTTAAATCCTATTTGTTGGTTGTGGAGTCACTTAGATTTTGTCTATCACTTACTGATTATGCTGTTTGGCAGCAAGTAAACCTGTTTTGTAGCTTCACCAGATTAACATGTCATTTTTAGGTATCCCTGGTGCTACTGCTGGCATGTCCTCCTTCATTCTTCATTGAACTGGGGTTGATTCTCTCACAGACTGGATCTGTCAATCTTGGTGAAACCCCAGACCTTAATGTTCTTTTCACTCTTGTACTCACTGTTAAATGTGTCAGATTTGAGTTTCCAAATGTTCAGTGCGAACTGTTTTATTTGCATCTTCATCTCCCCTCTCTGCTCCCTGAATCCAGATCTACGCCTTTGTTCTGCCCACCATTATGATGCTCTACCCCTCCATCGAAGCCAGTTTGATAGTGACCGTCGATGCTATAATTCTTGATCTCCAATTCACTATTAGAATCGTAGAGTCATAGAGATGTACAGCATGAAAACAGACCCTTCAGTCCAACTTGTCCATGCCGACCAGATATCCTAAATTAATCTAGTCCGATTTGCCAGCATTTGACCCATGTCCCTCCAAACCCTTCCTATTCATATACCCATCCAGATGCCTTTTAAATGTTGTAATTGTACCAGCCTCCACCACTTCCTCTGGCAGTTAATTCCCTACACACACTACCCTTTGCATGAAAATGTTGCCACATAAGACCCCTTTAAATCTTTCCCCTCTTACCTTAAACCTATGCCTTTTAGTTTTGGACTTCCCTACTCTAGGGAAAAGACCTTGACTATTCACCCTATCTACACCCCTCATGATTTTTAAAATTTCTATAAGGTCACCCCTCAGTCTTCAATGTTCCAGGGAAAAAATAGCCCAAGCCTATTCAGCCTCTCCCTATAGCTCAAACCCTCCAACCCTGGCAACAGTCTTGTAAATCTTTTTAAAATCCTTTCAAGTTTCACAACATCTTCCCTATAGCAGGGAGACTAGAATTGAATGCAGTATTCCAGTAGTGGCCCAACTAATATCCTACACAGCTGCAACATGACCTCCCAACT